GCTTAGGTGATCTTACATCAGCCCTTCATTCTTCACAGCGAGCCCTTGACATAAGAAGAAAGTTGTTTGGCGAGGAACACTCAGACACAGCTGAAAGCTACGATTCCTTGGGGGCCACACAGCATTCCTTAGGTGATCTTACATTAGCCCTTCATTCTTCACAGCGAGCCCTTGACATAAGAAGAAAGTTATTTGGCGAGCAACACTCAGACACAGCTCAAAGCTACGATTCCGTGGGGATCACACACCATTCTTTAGGTGATCTTAAATCAGCCCTTGATTCTAAACAGCGAGCCCTTGACATAAGAAGAAAGTTGTTTGGCGAGGAACACTCAGACACAGCTCAAAGCTACGATTCCATAGGGGTCACACAGCATTCCTTAGGTGATCTTACATCAGCCCTTCATTCTAAACAGCAAGCCCTTGCCATAAGAAGAAAGTTGTTTGGCGAGGAACACTCAGACACAGCTCAAAGCTACGATTCCGTAGGGGCCACATTGCATTCCTTAGGTGAACTTACATCAGCCCTTCATTCTTCACAGCGAGCCCTTGACATAAGAAGAAAGTTGTTTGGGAAGGAACACTCAGACACCGCTCAAAGCTACGATTCGGTAGGGGCCACACAGCATTCCTCAGGTGAACTTACATCAGCCCTTCATTCTAAACAGCAAGCCCTTGACATAAGATGAAAGTTGTTTGGCGAGGAACACTCAGACACACGTCAAAGCTACGATTCTGTAGGGTCCAAACAGAATTCCTTAATTGATCTTACATCAGCCTTTCATTCTAAACAGCGAGCCCTTGACATAAGAAGAAAGTTGTTTGGCGAGGAACACTCAGACAGAGCTCAAAGCTACGATACCGGAAGGGGTCACACAGCATTCCCTAGGTGATCTTACATCAGCCCTTCATTCTAAACAGCGAGCCCTTGACATAAGAAGAAAGTTGTTTGGCGAGGAACACTCAGACACAGCTCAAAGCTACGATTCCGTAGGGGTCACACAGCATTCCTTAGGTGATCTTACATCAGCCCATCATTCTAAACAGCGTGCCCTTGACATAAGAAGAAAGTTGTTGGGCGAGAAACACTCAGACACAGCTGAAAGCTACCATTCCGTAGGGTTCACACAGTATTCCCTAGGTGATCTTACATCAGCCCTTCATTCTAAACAGGTAGCCCTTGACATAAGAAGAAAGTTGTTTGGCTAGGAACACTCAGACACAGCTCAAAGCTACCATTTCGTAGGGTCCACACAATATTCCCTAGGTGATCTTACAGCAGCCCTTCATTCTAAACAGCGAGCCCTTGACATAAGAAGAAAGTTGTTGGGCGAGGTACACTGAGACACAGCTCAAAGCTACGATTTCGTAGGGGTCACACAGGATTCCTTAGGAGATCTTACATCATCCCTTGATTTTAAACAGTGAGCCCTTGACGTAAGAAGAAAGTTGTTTGGCGAGGAACTCTCAGACACAGCTCAAAGCTATGATACCGTAGGGGCCACACAGCATTCCTTTGGTGATCATAGATCAGCCCTTTATTCTCAACAGCGAGCCCTTGACATAAGAAGAATGTTGTTTGGCGAGGAACACTCAGACACAGCTCAAAGCTACGATTCTGTAGGGGCCACACAGCATTCCTTAGGTGATCTTACATCAGCCGTTCATTCTAAATAGCGAGCCCTTGACATAAGAAGAAAGTTGTTTGGCGAGGAACACTCCGACACAGCTCAAAGCTACAATTCCGGAGGGGTCACACATCATTCCTGAGGTCATCTTACATTAGCCTTTCATTCTACACAGCGAGCTCTTGACATAAGAAGAAAGTTGTTCGGCGAGGAACACTCAGACACAGCTCGAAGCTAC